AAGTCCTCCTGAGCGCGCTGGCGGTCAGTTGCTACGACGGATTCGTCGATCGTGGCGACGCTGGTGGTGGTCCCTGAGGCGTGGGAGCGAGAGCCCTTGCCGAGGCTGCTCCAGGACCGGCTGAAGCTTCGAGGGCCCGGGCTGGGCAGGTTGACGGAGATCGGGGTGACGGGACTGGGGTCCATGCTGGGAGGTGGCTTCACGGGCTTCATCATCTCGACGTGGAGCGAGTAGTTGGAGGAGAGGACGGCTCGTCGCAGACGGCGGCCCACGAAGAGGAGCAGCGAAAGAAGTACAGCAACGAAGATCACGTATGCACCGACGATGCCTCCGATCTGGATGGCCAGGAGCGACTCGTCCACGGCTGGAGTGATGGGATAGCTGTTTCGACGGACAGGATTCAACTGCTCCTTAGATACTGAGCCAGCAGTAATGAGGCGGGGAAGGAGCGCAAAGAATAGCAGATAGGGCATTATTTGAGGCCGGGATGAAGCTTTGTGACTGCAGACAAGGTGACGATTAAGTAGCACCTGCAGACATATCGAATCTGGTCTGGAGGCTGCAAATCCTTGCGCAATGGAAGAGACATGATGGAGGAAAAGAGGGGAGGAGCGGTATATTGAGAGGCCTGGGGGAGTTGATGTGATGGTGTGAAGAGGTGATCTGCTGCGACGGCCGTCCCTCGTCGGTCGTTGGTCAATTTACGCGCCGGCCCTGCATGCACGGCACACTCCATCACATCGAGCGGTTGACTACTGGCAGTTATGCTCGAATCAATCCCCGCTAATTTAGCGCTTTGTGACAGACGGTAGCGGCATGGATTGGATAGGGTTTGTCTGTGCCCGGGGCAAACTACAGGATCTGTTCCAAGCACATGTTCCCAGTATGCAGGTATCACTGCTGTCGAGTCTCAGCTGAATTAACCTAAATCCGAGTCATTTCCGCTGACTACCTTATCAGACAGGCTGCTTTGAGAACGGATTCTAGCAAACCTAAAAGCCCTTGCTAAATGCAAATAATCACCATTCGATGGTTGGCTGTCGGTTTGATCAGCCCGTGGACGTGCGAATTGCAACGGCAGCTTCATGTTGCTGACGAGATGTTCTCCACTAAGTAATTTCTGAACTTGCTCTGACTGGTAAAAAGATATTACAGATCGTCGCCATTGGTATTTTTGTGTTTTTGTATTGAAGCTGAGTGGGCTACTGGTCTTGCGACATGTTGAACGCATGTTTCAGTCAAACAGATGTATAGGGTCACTAACGTATAGATGACCCCTAAGAGCGCACTTCTAGTATGCTCTTGGTCAGGAGTTAACAGAGAAACTCATTGGACTCATAAACCAAACATGAAAACGAGGTTATCGTCATACCGAAAGTTTTAGAGACTGGTCTTGTGGTCTTGTGGTCTTGTCTCTCACTTCCCTTTCTACCCCCTTCCCTCGCACACCATCCCCAGGACCTATGAACACTATCTGTTCTCAACCTATTCTTCAGATGATATTGAAAGCTGAAATGGCAGTCATCCAAGGCTTTAAGTCTAGTCTCGACAGTTGAGAATGAGCAACAATAACTCACCACATTTGGTACTGACTGATCATGTCCAGCGGGACCAGGCGATGTCTACCTATGATATTCATCATGTTCTGCTACGCTAACGCTTGGTATGGAATGAAGGTGCCTTTGCATCGGAAACTTCGCACACCAGACGGAATATCCCACTCGACGAGGGAGGACTGGTTTAGAAATGCTCTCCTCGTCTCAACAGTCGCACTCGTATGCAGCTTTGCTTCCTGGCTACTGGGACTTTATCTTATACATCACGCGATGCAGTCTTGGTGGTATGGCCAGATATCATTGGTACTGGAGATTCTCGAGACAGCGATTGATGTGTTGTTGGCGGTCGTCTGGATTCGTGGGTTGCATGCGGTGTGGCGCTTGGGGTACAGGTTTAGAGATTGGCGCCGCCGCCGCCGTTGAAGACTTGGGTTGGATGGGGTTGTTGACGATGATGCTGTGATAACATTTATAAGTAGCAGTCTGGTAGTAAGTGTTGAGACGGGAACTTTGATGCTCGGTATTGGTTGAGGTACTTGGACTGAGATAGCGGGATATTGTTAGATGAAGTGGATAACATCGCGTTAAATAGATACCTTGTCTTTTGGTCAATGGAATCGTTCAGATCTATTTGCAGGTAGTATCATACACAGCGCATCATCTGTATTATATACAAGGCCCCTGGCTGTCTATTCTTTCTTCGAGAACAGATCGCGCCAGAATTCTTTGAACCCATAGCCCTTTGCCTGATCCTCCTCATATACACGCACCTTACTCGATGTGCTCAGAGACTCCAGGATGTTCGCAGCTTGAGGCCCCGAGTTCCTTGGACAAGCGGTTTCAGTTGCACGCCGCTTGATTTCCTCCGCCAAGCTTGGAGCCACTTCCGCATAACATGCAGCTAGCTCGCGCTCAAGATTGAGGTACGGCTTCTGTGCCACCGGAGGAGCCTGGAGATTGTAAGTCCGAGTAAGTGCATTGAGATTCTTGATCGTCAGTTCAAGAAACGAACGCTCCGTGTCCATATATTGCGGATCACGCAGAGGCGTGACATAGGGCAAAGGCTCTTTATCCTCTTGCGGCTCTGATACCGCACTATCATAGCTCTGCGTAGCTCCGTCTGAAGAGTCCAGCCCTCCAGCATCACTCGCACTATCGCTCTCGCGGAACATCTTCTCTATCTTGGCCCTTTCTGCCAGTCGAGCCTCCGCTGCGGCATATGCATCTGCCCGTCTCATCTGCACATCCAGAGACCCTCCTTCGCTGGCGATCAGCCGGGCTGCATGTCGTCGCCACTCCGCTCTCAAGCGTGATCGAAACCGATCAACCTCCCTAGCTAGGTCCTGTTGTTTCTCGATCCACGGCGGCACGATCTCCTGCTTCTGGATCATCTTGTTCATGAAATACTCGGTCGTATCGATGAACGGACTATTGGCTCGGTGATCCGTCTCCGTATTCACACCCTTGCCCCTCTTTATCCTGTTGAACTGACCACGCGCCATCGCATCCTCGATCCGCTCGTTCGCAAGCGCCGATAATCCCTGCAGCGTGGCCGGCATAGGTCGTGCTCCGGGGGAGAACCGTTCCCGCATCTCTCGGCGCATAGCTTCGCGTTCGTCCTCGGAGATCCCCTCACTCTGGCTCAAAGAATACGTTGCCGTGCGCTCACGGGCTTTCGCTAGACGCACGCCAGTGGAATCTTTGGGCTTCGGGCTGATCCGCATATCGACCGGGTTTGGCTGGGGGATCTTATATGGTGTGCGTATGCGTTTCTTGGAGTCGTCCAACATTCGTAGCGTGATGTCGTGGGTGGTTTCTGTTCCGGTCCATGCCTGAGCGCTAGCGATGTCTCGTGTTCCTTGACCTGCGCTTGACTGGGACTTGTCAGTAACCGATCGCCATCGAAACTGCGATACGTGTATAGCAAGCGTACCGGCATATCAACGATAGAGTGCGCGGCCGCGTACTCATTCTTGAAAGCTGCCGCCGCCACCCTCTCCTCCAGCTGTTGCTTCAGCTCGTCCGAGAACCCCGCCTGTTGCATGTTTCTCTGCGCGGACCGGCCTCCTTCCAGCATAGCCTGCTCTGTCATTTCCGACAGTCGCCGCGCCATAGCTCCCTGCTCCTCTTCTTTCTTCGACTCATCCTGCGACTTGGTATTCTCATGCTGCTCGCCCGGCGTCGAACCCGCCGCAGTTCGCCGCACGCTCCCCACAGAGAAGCATCTCGATGAGGGTATAACCTGACGTCTCGGCGCACATACCGGAGCGACCGTATTAGTGTAAAAAATGCTCACATGCCTTCTGCTCATTTCTGTCTCCGATCAGCGTTTCAAAAGCACTCTTCTAATATAGTGAAAGCTGAAGAAGCAGAGGCAAACCAGTTTAGTTATCAGCGTGAACTCGCCGCGGTGATTACATCAGCCAGACAACTTCCGCGGCGGGCAAATCGCCGAAAAAGTCTTGGCACCTCCGAAGCCTTCAGTCAACTTTTGGTTTGTCCGCATCGTCACTCGGCTGCGTGGTCGCTATCTCCCCCCCTCCCTTCCTTGTACCTTTTTTTTTTTTGAGAGAGAATTCAAAGATACCAATTGCAACCATGCCCGCGAAAGCTGTCTCTACCCGCCTTAACCCGGTCCGTCTGCAGTCCATCCCTCACCTGCGCGTCCGGCGTCCGAACACCAATGAGCCGAATACCTGCGTTGCGGTGATGTCGTCTATGCTGAGTGAGTAATACAACAATCCCCACGGATATTGGTGTGGTTTGAAGCATATGGCTAATGTGAGATTGACTTGATCAGGCTGCTGGGCATCCCAGGGCTACACCCACGAGGGATGCGCCGTTCTCGAACAACAATTGAGATCTTGCATGGATGCTCCTGTACGTTTCCCTTCACTTTCTATCACTCTCCTCCGTTGGAAATACCTCGATGCTGCATTCATATATGGGTTCTGGACCGTGCTAATCATACCTTTCCCCACCAAATAGAAACCCAAGTCCCAGAAGCGCAACCCCATCAACTACCACCTCATGAGAATGTTCCCCAAGGTCGTCGGCCCCAAGAAGAAGGACGGTGTGTTGGGTTAAATTGCCAAACAATATATACACTACATTATTTGCGTGTGATTCCAATACCTTATTTCGAGCGGTTGCATACGGGCATACGATTTACCTACTACCTACCGTCGTCGAACTCTCGCTCTTTGTCTTGTCTGGCCTGATATGATGGATGAGTGGACGGTGTGATGGTATGGAAGTGAAGAACTTATTCGCGGAGGGAGAGAGAGAAAATATTTTTTTTTATCATTTTGGAGTTTTGGGCTTGTAATATCGACTACCTACCGCAAACAGTTTTGATTGTGTGTTGAGGGTAGGTGGGAGGGGTTTTTTTTTTTGTATATTATTATGTGGATGTTGTATGTTATCAACCATTTTTCGAGTTATTTTGGTCCGTATAATGCTCTGTAGATTTAATTACTGGGTTTGCAGAAAATAGTGAAGAAGTACAGGAAATCATAAACTATATACTAGAATAGCTACCAGAAAGAAAACATAGAACTACTACGCAACAGACTCGAACTTCAAGACCAGCTTCTCCCCCCTCGGCTTAACCGTATACGCATCAATAGCCTCAATATCCTCATCATCAATGATAATTGTCGTATAATTGGTATAGATAGCCGCGACTACCAATTTCATCTCTATCAAAACAACTGGTCAGCTTCATCTCATCAACCACCCCATGAAAGGTATACATACCCTGCAAAGCCAAATTACTTCCCACACACATCCTCCCCCCACTCCCAAATGCCCAAAACCACCGTCTCCTTTCCTCCAGCTCCTCCGACGAATTACATTCCTTCAGCCACCGCTTCGGCTGCCACGTCTCCGGCTCCGGGAAGACCTCCGGGTTGCGATGAAGCGAGTACGCCTGCGCACTGACCCGCGTGTTCCCGGGGATATCGCTATACCCGACTAGCGTGCATCCAGAGGACGGGGTGACTCGGGGCTGGATACCGGGGATTGGGGCATGCAGGCGTAGGGTCTCTGTTACGATGGCGTCGAGGAGGGGTAGGGAGTCGATGGATTTGGGGGTGGGGAGGTCTCGAGAGGATGATGGACGGGGGTACAGGATCTTAGGTTCTAGGGTGTGGAGCTCCTCGCGGAGAGAGGACTGGAGGTCCGGGTGCTTGGAGAGTTCCCAGAAGAGGTAGGTCAGGGCTACGGCGCTGGTTTCGTGGCCGGCTGTGAGGTGGTCGTAGAGTTCGCAGGCGATGTCGAGGCGTTGTTGCTCGATGAGCTTGGGGTAAGATGATGATTCTTTGGGCGGGAGCTGTTTGGATATGCTTTGCTTGAGTTGCTTGTAGACCATGGGTTCTGTGTTGAGCTGGGTCGAGCTGAGGCATTCGTCTGCTTTGTCGCAGAAGGATAGACCCCAGGCGTCGAGAACTTCGTTGGCTTCGTCGCACCATTTGGGGATTAAGCGGAGGCCGAGACGCTTGGCCCATGAGACGAGGTTGGGGACTTCTTGGTGGTAGAATTCGAAGGGCTTCCTGCTTTGGTAAAGGCGGAGGGTCTTGCGCCGGAAAGATTCGTCCTGAAGGAAGTTGGTCCCGTTGGCTAGGCCGTATAGGTAGGCAGAGACGAAGTCCATTGTGATGCCCTGATCGAGGTCGTGCATGTCAATGGGTGAGCCTGAGGAGGCGGCATCTTGGATGATGGGGAGGAGACGATCGAGCAGGATTGTCTCGGAGATGAGGTGGATATGGGGTGAGGATTGCAAGAATGACTTGCTGTAAATGTTGGACAGCATCCTTTTGCGGGTGGAGTGGGCTTTGTTGTTTGTCATGGTGAACATGCTAACGGTTCTACCATTGTGCGGATTACACATGTCAATATAGTCGTCGCATGCACTCGCTGTTGGGGCTACGCTTACCCAAAAGAGCCAAAAACACGAGGGTACCATTCGTGTTTCTCATACCCACCCGTGTAGATAGACTTGATGCCCCCATCGACGCAGTTGACGGAGACTTCCGATGGTGCAAGCCGGACAATAGGCCCTAGTCTTTCATGTGCGGATTGGATGATCCTGTTGTTCTGTGCCCTATACCGTCTCCAGATAATCCATACTGGAGAGATTGGAGCTGACCAGTGCGCATTGGGTATCTTGGACAACGGGGAGAGAAAGACGGGGTATATAATCAATTTGTAGGCCAGTAGTAGGATGCAAAAGCTGGTTGCGGCGAAAGTAACGGCAGAGACCGCCATGTTGCCTGGTGCTTCAAGATATAGATGTTTGAGCTGATACACAAGTCAAGGATGTAATTCCCATCAACGCTGTGCTCAAAGAACGCGAAATCCACAAGATGTCATATGAGCAATAAAGTAAGTTTCGGCCGACTCCGCAAGCTCAATTTCTGGCGTACCAGGCAACCGATGAATAAAGAGCTACTATAACTGAGCCAGGAGGATTAGGGTAGAGGTGTACGCCACGCAGAGGAGGAATAAGCACCAGAATAGATGGAAGAGGCATACTGAAGCCCTGGATAGGCCCAGATATATAGCCGAAGAGCCTGAGTCACCGAATGATGGGGTAACATCGTCTATCTCCAGTTTCTCCAACTCCTCATAAATGTAATTGGCTTCCACCACTCAGATAGTCTGGATTGCCGATAAGTACCCAAAGGAAGAGCCGAGGAGCCGATAAGATAAGTACCGGATGACATAAGGCTCTCCAGCCACATTTCTCCACCGTCCACATCAAACATTCTGTGCCATCTCCCACAGCATCGCATCTAGAATTTATATCTGGGGTGTCTACTTGTCACTAGTCTATTCCCCGGCCTAGCAATCATATATACATCAAAGAATGTTGATACACGGGTCACGTTGATGGCCTCACGCACTCTGCAGATTACCGCGGCGATAGATCGGACGGGGCGCACAATGTCTTGAATCGTCATGGCGAATCCTTCATGCCACCACCACCACCACCTCGCCTTTCCTAGAGCATTCCCTTGTCGTTGTTTAGATCAGTAAATGTGTGAATATTTCTCTAAATCCTCGTGAATTTTGGCAACTCACTTGACTAACACGGGTGATGCCAGAGATTTTTACGTCATCCCTGTGAATCATCTACTTGAGCATATAAGACTGTCTTAAATTTGGCATCCTGCCCCTCAACATGCTTGCACAGCTTCCCCCGGAAATCATACAGCTTATTGCAAGCTATTTGCCATCTGCCAGCGCGTTGGTGAACCTATCAATGACCTGTTGGCGTTTACGACATGTTGTCGCTGCTCAAGACTGGCGCATTTTTAGAACCTTTGTTGAGACCAAGTTCCCTGGTGTGGAAACTCCTGAAATCTGGAGAGAAGCAGCCCAGGCACTCACATCTCGGTCAAGAGCATTAGACAAACATGCAGTTGTCGGAAGATTCGTCGTACCAGCCGCAGAAGCAGTCAAGGTCGGATCCCATAGTTCCACACGAGGGGACAACCCTACTCACGGATATCGTCCTGCTCTGGACTCGTATGAAGTCTGGAATAGCTCCTCGTGGAACGATCGAAAGGAGGTGCTTGCCTGGGGTGCGGCAGACGAATTAGTTCTGCGCATCACCGAACCTGGCCCCAATTCGAAGGGGAAATGGGTTGTCTTCAACGATCTCGACGACATCAGCAGCCATGATGACATATGTGGTGTCCATCTTCTACGTCCTGAACACCCTTCCAAGGAACCTGAGACTGAACATATAGTCGTTGCACGAGTGCGCGGAGAGCTTTTTCATCTCTCTATCGACCCTAATAGCGCGTCTCACGTATACAAGCAGCGGTTCTTGACCTCCGGACAAGGCATTGAGCGAACAGATATGAGTGACGGAAAGGACCCAATCTTATCTGCCCACTTGAGCGACGGGTCGATATCCTTCTTCACTACCACTTCGGGAGAAGAGATAGTCCAACCTTTCGCTCGTCTCAATGCCGACACTGGCGACGATTCAAACCTAAGTTCTCGCCCCACGTACCACAAGTTCCTTTCACCTACACTCTTCGCAGTCGGCACAGGAAGCGCCCACGAAGCGGTGATTATCTCCACCATTACACCGCAAGGCCTATCACCCATTCGTGAGCTCGATGCGGAGTTAGTGGACTTCGAGCGAGTCAATCTCCATACGCCCATCAGACCCAACGTCAACGCCATTTCTCCCCTCGATCCCACCGGCCAAGTCTTCCTCGCAGCCTGGGGCGATAGAGCCGTCAGGTACAATCACCCCCCCACCCCCATCATTCCACCCTTACGCTAACACGCTCAGACTGCACGACCTCCGTTCAAACGACGAATACGAAAAGGTTTACCGTGATACCACAGACCAAAACCCCATATACTGCATCCACCCCTTTGGCCACGACCGCTTCGTCGTCGGTTCCGGCGGTGACGCTCTAGTCAAGATCTTTGACCTGCGTATGCCTAAGAACGAAACATACAGCTACCGCGATGCACGGCCTTCCTCGACCCTCCCCAACAACAACAACGAACCAATCGTAAACAGCCTCTCAAACCTCTCCCTCACCCCCTTCCCCCGCAAAGACATCTCCATCTTCCTCTCCGCCCACCCCCCATCCAGCCGCACCCAAGGCCGTCGCCGCCACAACACACGTTCCTACCGCGGCGCAATCTACAGCATGAGTTCGCCCTCCCCCTCTTCATCAACCATCTACACTGGTGTCGCGGACGGCGTCGTTCGCCTTGACTTCGCCTCCACGGATGACCTCTTCGGCCCTTGTCAGAACTGGTACCGGGAGCCACTCCTGCTCTCTAACGACGTAGGCCTCGACAGCACTGTTGCGCACACCCGTGCCGCGGGTAAAGTTCTTGAGTTATCGGGCTACGAGCGCCCTGAGGATACCACGTCTTCTATCACTTTGCGCAAGCAGCAGCCGTTTGGGTCCGTCGGCGTGGAGGATCATCTTGCAGAGGAGGTTACAGGGTGGGATCGGAGGTGGGAGAGGTTGGAGAAGTCCGGGTCGTGGAGACGGGTTGATGATCTGGTTGAGTAGTTGGTAATATGAAGAGGATGTTGGGTAATTGTGAGAGGAAGGGACAATAGGGCTTGTCTATGGTATGGTGTGTGTACTGAATGTTGTTTACCGGTGTTGTGTTGTTTGGAGACGTTTCAGAAGGCGACTGGTTTAACTAGATCCGCATGAGCTATGCATACTTGGACTGGGTTGTGGTCCTTCAGCTGGATTTGGGGACTGATTGCATAGCACGATGCGTGGATAAATTTGATTTGAGCATAGCAAGAAGCTAATATTTACGACCTACCGGATGTACGATTACTTTAAAGGCTAGGTAGGGTTTACAATGAAAAGCAAGGATATCTGAATACATGTTTATAACATCTCTATAGATCTAGATGATGCAAGTAGATAGTACATACAGGTGAAGAAGCGTGAAGCAAAAAGCAAAAAAGAAAAGCTGCAAGAAAAGCAATCCGACCGGGCTCCAGTAGCGCCTTGCTGTAGAAAATGATTCAATGACCCATCTAGGCTGCATATAGATCTATATGGATGGAATCATAAGCGAATAGAACTTTTCGAATACCCATTTTGTTTCGAGCATGTAAAAGCTGTAGGTATGCTTTGGCGGTCCCCTATATCAAGAGGCAAGTCTGGTCTCCATCTCTAAGGTAGTATCGCGGATCTAGTCATCGAACTTGAAAGACTTGCCGCCCGAGATGTCGATGGGACCACCACGGTAAGAGCCGCGCTTCTTCTTGTTCTTCTCCTTGGTGAAGCCCTTGCCGCGGGTGACCGACAGATCCTGCCAGGCCTTCTCGGCGTAGGCGTAGGGAACGTAGTCGTTCGAGAGGAGGTGGTCGGTGGGACCTTCACTCAGCTGCGCCAGAGGAGTGGGGCGAGCACCGGTGTGCTTCTTCTTCTGGGGGGCGTTGCCGGGAGCAGGGCTGGCGCTGCTGGATGCGGACGTCTGGGCAGACTGGGACTGCTCTTTGGCGGCAGAGTCGGAGTTGCTGACGGTACCGGTGGAGTCGGAGTCGGAGGAAGAAGACGAGGAAGAGCCGCTGGAGCTAGAGTCGGACGGAGGCAGAGGGGTCTTGGTAGCAGCCTTCAGGGCCTTCTTGTCGGCCTTCTTGTCATTCTCCTCGTCGGAAGAAGAGTCAGAGTCGGAATCGGACTCAGAAGAGGAGCTGGAGTCATCGCTAGAGGAGTCGGAGTCGGAGGACACTTCAGACTCGGAAGAGGAAGAGGAAGAGTCAGACTCAGAGTCAGAGGAGTCCGAGTCAGAAGACTCCTCCTTGGCGGAGGTCACCTTGGTCTTCTTCGACTTCGGGGCCTCATCAGACTCAGACTCGGAATCAGACTCGGAGGAGCTGGACTCGGCCTTGCGCTTGGTGCCCTGGGACTTGGCAGCAGGGGCAGCGGGCTTCTTCTTCTCCTCCTCCTCATCGGAGTCGCTGTCGCTGTCGCTGTCGGACTCGGACTTGTCGTTCATCTCGACATCAGAATCGCTGGACTCGTCGGAGCTGCTATCACTGCTCTCGCTATCACTCTCGCTTCCACTCTCACTCTCACTGTCGCTCTCGCTGTCCGAAGAGCTAGAACCGGAGGACTTCTCGGAGGACTTTTCCCAGGACTGGTAGAGTTCGAGCAGGGACGGGACGTTCTTCGCATCAGAGTCGATCGACTTGCTGGAAAGTTCTTTGGCGAAAGCTTCCTTGGTCTTAGAGAGACCAGATTCGCTCAGGAAAGCGCTGATCGCGGCGACGAGTTGAGCGGGAGGAGCAGGCTGGTTGATTCATGACTGATCAGTATTGCCTATCTATACACAGTAAACGTAGTCGGTTTGCCTTACAGTCTCCTTGCTCTTGGACACCTTGGCGGGCTTAGCCTGCTTGGATTTCTGACCGGCCATGATGACTGTTTGGCACAAACGCTGCAAACTGTGGATTTGAAAAGATTGACTTGGATGTTTTCAAGTTTCCCTTTATCGGCGAGGCAGAAAAAAAAAGGAAAAAACAGCAGAAAGACAATCAAAGGCGGTCAGTCTGGCGCGGTCTGTGATTGCTCGGCTGACTTTTTACGTGGGCTCACGTGATTATGGTTCCGTGAGACAATAGGGTCACGTGCCAGGGACTAGAGAATCTGGACCAAAGGCTGGAATGATTCTCTCAGGTATACTCATTGATAGTGAAGTCAAAGTCAAATCGATGTATTGACTCGCCGAGAGGGTAAATCCTGATGTGCTAACCTTCCATATCGCTCCTCAGCGGCTCATCCTGTGAACGGTATAATCCGCTGGTGGAAACAATACCGAAACTACTACGTTGTCCGACACGGAATGCTCCCCGAACTGCCTGTAGAGATAGCTAAATCTTGTCAAAAAGATGGCCATCATCAGGCACTCCTACAACCATATGCAATGGCTCCCGGATAAATATATGCCACTCCGGCTTCAAATGTCTTTGAATGGCGCGAATTAGCATTGCCCCGCGCCCTTCGAAGTACCAGTGCCTCTCCATCTGCTTCAACAGAACACAATAGTACGCTAGCAATATAAGTGCACCAGGGTGCCGTTGATGGAGAAGAGCCATGTATTCTAGCGACACTTCCATGGGCCATATGCGGAGAACGTCCCAGGTAGTAAGTAGTCCGCGGTGGGCACGCACGTACGCAAATGATCGGCACAAAACAATGGCAGCCTCTTGATAAATGGCCGTCACATCTTCGGGCCAAACGAGAGTCGTCTCATTTGTATCGCCAGTGCTTTGTGTGGCGGTTGCCTTATTTGGGATCACTGACAGGAGAAGTGTCAAATATGAGGGTTCTGGGTCGTAACCAAAATCAATGTCCCAGGCCTCCGAAAGTGCTCTGACGGGGCCTTCGTTCAACTGCTCCCATACCTCACACAGCATAGAGCAACCAGCGCGGAGAAAGTATAGCCAGTTGCAAAGAATGCTATCAGGCTCGGTGCCTTCGCCACTATTCCGATCCACTAGAAGCAACGAGTCCTCGCTCAAGTTTGAGTCTGAGCACCCAGGTTGATCCGCGGCAAAAGAGTATACCACTAGCAGATATGCAAATGCCAAGATGGCATGGCAATTATCCGCCGTAGGATGCTCAATAGCGTGCCGAAAATGCGGGAGAGCAATGCCTTGATGGTGATACGCTCTTAGAAGAAATGCCTTTTCCTGGTTCGCATGCCCAGAGCTCATGTGTGCTCTGTGCAAGCTTGTGCAGGCTAGCAGGCCATGCAGAAGGAATACATTCTGGTGTGCTAGACCCGGGACAACCGAGCGCCATATCTTATCAGTTTCTTCGTTGGTGGTGAAACTATGGTATGTGTGTCGGAGGTAGTGGTCCAGAAGAGCAGAGTCCATGGAATCCAAGCCTGCATGGAGCCGGCCTCCTGAAAGCCCTGCTGTGAGTGGACCGAACACAGAGGATGGCAAATCATTATGTGGCTTTGCTCCAACAGAAGTGAAATACCGTAAGTGATTGCCGCGGAAGAAAGTCTGTAGGGGAACCGGACGCCAGTCTGTGGTGCAATCGCCCTTTCGTCCATGGACAGTCCTCCAGTGGGACTGCATGCGCTTGTTAGAAGCACATAGATACATGCAACCAGCTGCCTGGCATCGAAGACCGGGCTCAACCGGTAGGTATGGGACCGGAAACTGATCAGCACCACTGGGAGGTACGACGTCGTTTGGCTCTCTAAGGCACAAGCTGGCAACGTAATGAGAATACTTCCGCCGGCGGCCACGGAGGATTCGATGAATCTCTTTCAGATGACGCAAGATCCCATGAGGCTGGACGGCATATCGGCAGGTACTGCAAATGACAACCTCGTAATCCGGAAGATAGTGCAGCAGCTGGGACGGGTCAGGGTCATCCGGCTGAGACGGAGATACAATGTTCGCATCCAAGCCCATCTCGGCCACAGCTGTCACGAGAAACTAGCATGGAACGGCAGCGACGATTTTCCCCTGATCCTTTCATTCATGGCCTTCTTATAGATGACTGGCCGGTCCAGACTGGCGCCTCGAGATATCGACGGTGCCGTTCCCGCTATTCCCGAAGCGGAACATTGCTGCCTCATCCAACCCTAGAAGGGCCATAGTTCTCACAGCATGGATCACATATCTCCGTTCCTAACACCGAGATATTGGGGCATAAATATGGCACCAGCCCGCCTCAGACAAAGACACCAAACCCAGCCCTCCTATTCACAAACATGTCCTATTCTCGCAGCATCCTCATTACCGGAGGTACCGCCGGTCTAGGCTACTACTGCACCCTAGAACTCGCGCGCCAGTTCCCCAACTATCAAGTAATAATCGCATCTCGATCCAACTCCCAAGATGCCGCCGGCTCTATAAACAAAATTCTAGGCCAAAACAACGTCAACTACCTCCGACTCGACCTCTCCGACCTATCCCAGATCCGATCCTTCGTCCAACAATGGGAAACCAACAAATACCCACCCATCCAGTACCTCCTCCTCAACGCAGGTCTACAATTCCCCGGACCCGTCGAATACACAGTAAATGGATACGAAAAAACCTTTGCGATCAACCACATCGGCCACGCCCTATTATTCTCCCTGCTGGTCCCCCACCTCGCCCACGCAGCAAGGATAGTAGTTACCTCCAGCGGCACACACGATCCCGCACAAAATACCGGCCTCCCTGACGCAAAGTACACCAGTGCGGAGGAGCTCGCTCACCCGACCCAAATCACAGCCCAGAATCCCGGCCGCCAGCGTTACTCAACCAGCAAGCTTGCAAACGTTCTTTGGGTGTACGCGCTGCATCGGCGTCTCAATGAGTCGAAAGATGCAAGGCTTAAGTCGTGCACCGTCGTTGCGTTTGATCCTGGTCTCATGCCTGGGACTGGGCTGGTCCGTGAAGCGAACCCAGTCGTGCGCTTTCTCTGGCATGTGATTCTCCCTCGCGTTATTCCGCTTCTGCGTGTGTTGCTGGGAACACCGAATATCAAGTTGCCACAGGTGTCGGGGGCTACGTTGGCTTGGTTAGCCAGTAGTAAGGAGGCTTTGTTGAGTAGTGGGGTTTATTATGAGGGGAGGGAGCAGATCCGCTCGAGTGAGGAGAGTTATGATGTGAGCAAGCAGGATGACTTGTGGGATTGGACTGTAAGGAATGTGGCCTCTACGGAAGAAGAAGTCGCGCGGTTCTCGTTGACGGATTAGTCTAAATGTGTGTTGGGTTTGGTTTGGTTTGTCTTCTACTTTCACTCTTGGTGTGAGGGTTGTAACCTGATACTCGCTTCTTGGATCTCAGTGTCGATGCATTTACTATTATCACCCCAGATAACTATTCCCTGTATCTTGCCTTTATCGTTTGTTGGATCAATAATAGGATAAATCGACGAGGTAATGTGCGACATTGCGAAGTAAATCTCACCACACAGTGCACGTGCCCTAGATGGTAAGCTCCGAGGTGCAACTTCGGAGATTTTCTATTCCCGCGTGAAGACAGTGACCAAAATCTCTAGGAACTCCGTGTTATAAAGAACCGTGGAGGCTTATCTTTAGTCTGTTTACAGTTTACAGTTTACAATTTCCGGTAGGGGAATAGGGAAATACGCAGGCCTGTCCGTCCAACGAACCCAAACGTAATACATTAAGCACGTCAATCACTGCCACATTATGTTCACAGAAGTTTACTGCGATGTGCGGGCAGATTTGATGCTTTGATTATACTAACCTTCGTCTTGTGCGTTGGCGGGTGGACAACTTTCTGCAGTACAGGTTGCGTACCACGGGTCAGTGCATTACCTGTAATTAGTCGTTACTCTAACTTAAATTGAACCTTATATGTATACTTACGATCTATTTAGTCATGTGGTGTTCCTTAGATTCTGCCTATATCATGGCATGAAAGATGTCTTTGCTGATTCCTCTCCATTGGATTCAGAACGCAGCTGCCGGGATGTCTGATATCGAGAGCCCTAGCACTGCCCGTGCCGAGCTTCCTCGTCAATTCTCATTCTTGTCGACATTGGCCTTGGGATACAGCATTACCAACTCATGGGCTGGTTACGCGGGTATCCTATCGATACCCCTGGTGATGGGAGGGAGCCCAACAGCTTTCTTTGGCCTTGTTGTTGCTTCGATAGCTTGTTGTTTTATAAGTAAGCACGCCCTACTCACTCATGAAAACGGCATTGATATCCTGTCCGCCAATAGCTGCTGGCCTTGCAGAGTTGGCGTCTGCATTTCCCACTAGCGGAGGGCCATTCCATTTTGCTTTCATGGCTGCGGCGCCCAAGCACCGTGCCGCGGTTTCCTTCGTTGTTGGCTGGTTGACTATGATTTCCTGGTGCACGGTGTCTACATCCAACGGAATAGTCTGTGGTGAGTCGTTCCTCCTTCTCTCACATGAATTCTTCTAGGTATGATCTGTGAATAATCTGTTGAGAAGCACAATTGATCAGTGGTCTGGTGACTGTCCACCATCCGAGCTTCACAGAATCTGCCTGGCGAATCTATCTCATCTATCTTCTGATCGTTCTCCTCTCAACTATGGTTGTGTGTTTTCTGCCTCGTGTTCTTCCCTTGATAGAGGACTCTATCCTCACCTTCAGCTTGCTCACCTTCAGCGCCAGTTTCATAACGGTGTTAGCGATGCAAGATCACAAACAGTCCGCACACACTGTGTTCTTTGCCTATGAAAATCATACAGGTTGGAGTGACGGGACAGCCTTCATGATAGGCGCTGGGACTTGCATGTACGCATACATAACGGTTGATAGCATTACCCATATAGCCGATGTGAGTTTTTCTGCTGCCATATGGCTGCGTTTTTCAGCTCGCTGTTAACGGTTTGTCATCAAAAAGGAAGTCCCAGAGCCAGGTCGCAATATCCCCTGGGCGATGATGTCTACCGTGCTGACTGGCATGGTAACCTGTATTCCATACTCAATAACCATTCTTTTCTGCACAACCGATCTTAATGCCGTTGCGTCTTCTTCAATACCCATCTATACGGCATACTTACAAGCAACATCCAGTTCACCTGTGGCCGCACTTTTCACTGCATGGGTTATATTCTTCTATTGCGCAGCCGAATTTTCTTGTATACTGACAGCGGGACGACTTGCATACACGTTCGCCCGAGCCGGCGGTCTTCCTTGTTCGTCATTCTTCATGGTGGTCACGAACGAGATGCCGCTAAACGCCACACTGGGTTGTTGTGTCTTCATCTCCCTATACGGGCTGATATACATTGGCTCAGCATCAGCATTCAACGGCCTTATATCGATCGTCATTATTGCACTTAACATTTGCTATGTTATCCCGCAAGGAATTGTGCTGCTTCGTGGACGTGAAGCCGTGCTTCCGAGAAGAGCTTTCGCATTGGGAAAGTATATTGGACCCTTCTGCAATGCGGTTGCTGTTCTCTGGGTGGCAGTCATATTGGTATTCTTTTGTCTTCCTCTCCGATTACCGACCACGGTACACGACATGAATTATGTGAGCGTAGCACTCGCAGGGTTTGTTGCTCTGATTGTTCTTGGATGGTGGGGAGGAAAGAGGAGGACGTTCATCGGGCCGGTATGTATTCCATTGTTCCTTCCCCGTTCATGTAGTGGATTAAGCTCGCTGACAATCAACATTGTTGCTCTACCACAGGAAATCGAATTTCCTCATGACAGACAGAATGGGATGGCACGAGTGCCTGATGAGTGAAATAGCATAAATGAGCTGTATAAGTGAGACTGTATAATACCAGCTTGTTGTTTAGAGAGTCAATTTATATAGCAGAATTGAAGTGATATGTGATCTCCTGTGCTTGCTACCATCAATAGGAGCTGACATTTTGGTCTCTCTCTCTTAGTTGCACAAGTTAGTACTAGTATATAGTAAGCCCAAGGTTCCAATAAACCGACTCAGCCTATCGTTCGCAAGTTTAGACATTAGTATGTAAGGTACCTATATATGAAGCATTTAGAGGGAGTACTGCAGCTGGCTAATCCCCCCAAGTGATTCCTTGAGACGAGAGGTGAGGTTAAACTGGATCCAAAATTGGACTCGGCCATCCTGCATGACAGTTAGACAGTTGCTTATGCACAGGCAACCGGAGTGGATCGTGCCCGGTTAATGCAAACGCCTCTATGTGCTTACATAATTATGTTGTACGAGCTTGAAAGATGTCGGATAGCATATAGGGGATCTACTCAGGAGGAATCCCTGTAACTCTACTAATTGCAGGACTACAGTTAATAATTCTAACATACAGCTAGCCCACCTTTTTTCGCATCATCGACCCTAGTGAGGAGTGTATGTCTACAATTGCATCGTAACCACTGCCACCTCCGCCGAGACTAAGTTCCGTGCCGTATCCGCAGCCGCCAGCCCATGCTCTCACACCCTCCCAAGTTAACGGTAGCTTAGTGGCTAAGGAATGACCTAATCCCACCTCTCTGGCTCCCTCCTCCTCCACCACCTTCCGTCGGTTTTGGAACTCGGTTCTGCGCCAAATCGTGTATGGCGTCGCCTTCTACCAATCGACTTGCTTTTTGAATGAATCACGATCTTGCTCGTTGGAGCCTATCGATTGACTGACCATCCCAGTCCTTGCCCACGGCGCGCGCCCCGTGTGATCCCTGCCCCCGTCTTCCCGACCATGTCCACTTGATCTCCGAACACCTCCTGAGTGATCCAGGCTTTCGGAGATCGATTAGCAACCATGAGTAGTCGTGACCGCATGCGGGGTCCCCCGCCCGGCGAGATGCCCCCTCAAAGAGACCCTCGTCGAGCTGGTGATAGTCGCAATGGCGGTAACGCCGGCCCCGGGGATGCCTCGATGTCGAGGGCCGAGAAATTCGAGGATGAGAAGCGGCGGATCATTCATAGCTGTTTTGGCAAGAAAGACAGCGATGGCTCGTGTATGAACATTTCTCTCACGCTCCTCTCCTCTCCTAAAAAGGTGTCCGGTTGACTTATTTCCCTTCTTCCTTCCTTCTAGTGGTCGAGTCCTACATAACACATGTCCGCATTTTGGAAGATGCGGCATATCCGTCCACCCCCGCTCCACCCAATTCGCCGCCCGAGAACAAGAAACCTCGTGTGATCATTGTCGCTGTGAGACGGTCAGGAAGAGTGCGCATGCACAAGGCGCGCGAGAACAATGATGGCTCGTTCTCTATCGGCAAAACATGGATGTTGGATGATCTCTCCTCCATCCAGTCTTACAACGCCTTGGTCCCGAGCACGCCGTTAGAACAACAACACAAGCAGTGGGCTGCCAATGTTGGATTCATCGTCACTGTTGGAAAGCCTTACTATTGGCATGCACGGACCTCCAAAGAGAAGGATTTTTTCATAGGCAGCCTCGTTAAGATCTACAGAAAATACACTGGCGGCAAGGTACCGACCCTGATCGGCTTCGATGAGCGTGAACGACAGCTGCTTGCTGGCGCATCAGCTGCAGGTCCGCCAGCTCCTAAAGGCCCCCCTCCTGGTCCTCCGCGTCCCGAAGTGACCCTGCCTCCCCCGCGACCTCCCTCTTCACAAGGCAGCCGGCCTCAGTCACCGTATTCTAGCCGTGCGCCCAGTCGCGATGGACCACGACGACCACCGCCACCACCATCTGAGGAACATGCCCTACGAGGGCAAAGAAGTCGTGATCAGATGGGGAGACCGTCTACTGGCCAGTCTGGTAAAAGCGGCACTCCTCCGTTTAGCCCACCCCAACACGCCCCGCCAATGCCTCCTGACCAGCGCGAACAGCCACCTCCTCGTGCAGCCGAACGTCTTGCCGCGGATTCCAGAGTACCCAAGGTGCCCATAATATCTCCCCCGGAGCCGAGAAATAGGGACTATCCCTCTAGTTTGCAGGCCGCTCCTGTTGCCGGTCAGCGGGAACGGTCCAATGGCAATTTTGAAGACGCCAGGTCGGGGAGTCCCCTCCCTGACTCCCGACCACCATCCTCACGCGACGGGCGGAGAGGTCCTGAGTCCAGACCTACGCTTCGTACCCAGGATCTACATCCCAGCCGCAGTACAGACGGTCTTCGTCCTACTACACCTGGGTCGGTTTCTGGAGAAAAGCTCACCTTCATGCATAGTCCGGGTAGTAGCGTGGGTCCCAGATCGCCCTTGAGGGAAGCAGCCGAAAAGCCCATTGGCTCGCCCGCACGAGCAGAGCGACAGGAGCCTGAGCCCCCGAGCAACCCCATCAATACCCCCGCCGTCGAGGTCCCAGCAGCACTCACGCCAGGCTCTTCAGGATTTAGCAAACCCCCACCCGCCGTCGAGTCTGCTGAGGCGCCGGTGCCCACAGCTCCGACACTGCCAGTTTTGACAAAGGATCCAGAGCCGATTCAGCCGATAGCAGAGACTGCTGCAGCTGCAGTACCACCGCCTCCTAGTGATCTGGAGGCCACTGAGCCTGTGGAAGAAAATGATCCCGATGCACACCGTCCTGGGCTTGGCCCGATGATCAAGAAGAAGCAGACTAAAGATGTTGCAAGCGCATTCCGCAAAGCTGCCACGGCTCATGGGGCCTTCAAGCCGAGGCCTGGTGGTGCTGGTGAGAGACTTCTAGCAGCTGCGAAAAAGCAGAAGGCTGCCGCTGATGAGCCGGATGGGATCACCAGCGTGGTGCCTGCTCCGTTCTTGCTTCGGACTAACAGCGAGAATACGGTGACTTCTCCTGCGACACCGGAAGCAGAGACTCCCCCAGTTGTATCTTCATCCCCTGAGAAGGAGGTGCAACCGCCAGCGCCACTGGCACCGCCAGCAGCGCCAGCTGTGCAGCCTCCTGCCGAACCCCCCAGGATGGAGCCACCCGCAGTTGAAGTGACCCAACCTGCGCCCGAAGAACCTACGGTCGGTTCGACTGAGGTACTCGCAGAGCCAAGAGATACATCAAGAGCTTCTGTGAAAGTTGATACAGAAAGATCGAGATCCGTGTCTCCTTCGCCCCATGATCGTCGCCGCAGACGTCATGAGGATAACACGATCAAGTACTGTCAAGCGCTCGGACTCAACCCTAGTGTTCTTGAAGGGCGTGGAATTGACTTTGACGATATCTTGACTGACCTAGGCTGGAACGGACGACTGGGAGACGAAAAGAAGATTGAAGATTTGGAGGCAGACATCCGCCGAGAGATTGGCCGTGTAGAGGCTACCAGCTGGCTTGGTAACCTCGAACAGCAGGAGGGCAAGATCGATCAACTTGCAAAACTCATCGACAAGACGATCGTGGAGTGTGAAGAGCTGGACAATCTCCTTACCTTGTATTCCCATGAGCTCAACGTAAGTTTGCAGGCCTTTGCTGGCCCTATTCCATCGCCTCGGCCACTTCGGTTGTATGCTAACGGAGGTAACAGACTCTCAACGATGACGTGGCTTATATCGAAACGCAATCCCAGGGTCTACAGGTGCAAACAGCCAATCAAAAATTGCTTCAGAACGAGCTACAAAACCTACTCAAGACTCTTTCCATTTCCTCAGACGACGTTCGTGCCTTGAAGGAGTCGTCATTGAGCAATCCCGATGGCCTCCGAGATACCGAACTTGCCCTATCTACGTTGTACAAAGCGATGTTGATGATTGATTCTGACATCTGGCATAACAAGAGGCGGCTTGCCGATGCGGCTGGAGACCATGGCAGCCTGGGCGTGTATGCCGACACAGAAATCGGCCAAATGCGTGCGATCAAAGAAAAGAAGGAAGAGTATCGCACACATGCTCGTGTATTCTTGCAACGACTGAAGCAATTCATGGCTATTGCATACAAGGTTGCGGAACAAAAGAGGATTGATGCGGCTGCCAATGGTCAAAAGGACCCCCTGAAGCTCGACAGCGAAGCCCGTGGCTTCTGCCGTCGTGAATTGTGGCAGTACCATGCTGTGATCCTCTTCGCTCGGGAAGTTAGTTCCGGGGAGTGGCACGCGCTCATCAACCTGTATGAACAGCAGGCCAAACACCCTTACCAAAATGATTTCCGAGACAACAACCTGGCTTGGAAGAAGGCGGCGAGGAAGCCTAGTGGAGAGGAGCAGGAACTCCTCTTTACTCACCAAGAGAAGGAGAAGGAGTCTGAAGGAATCACCATGGCGGCGCGCAAACTCACAGTGCGACGAGGCAAGACCATTAGAGCTGCAGCAGGTCTCAGGCTTCCCTCAGGAGAAAAGCAACATGGCAAGCTGGAGCCATTCGAAGCTTTCGGGGGGACGCTTCAAGAGACCCTGCATATGATCTCGGAAGAGCAGAATTTTATCGTCTACTTCTTCCATCTCAACTCGCTTTCAACGGTCGACTTTCCAGACCTGGTTATGTCAGGCGCTCCGGATGAGCGCAGGATACCCAGTTTCGGCTCCAAACAGCTGCACGATCCCGACCGAGCGATGGCCAAGAAAGTTGAGCAGATCATGGACGAACTTTTCGCGTTCTGGCCGACTGATATGCAAAACCTTGTGGACTGGGCCATCAGAGCTGACCCACTGTAAGTTAACTCCTGTGCGCATGTCAAAAGACTACAGACTGACTTTATCATGTAGACAAGGAATTGGAATATTGCTGGCCATAGAGAAGGCTATCTCCGAGTTTGATGACACCAACCAGGACTTTATTATCCACTCTCTTCAAAAACTCCATTCCCGGTTGCTTGGCCTCTTTAATCGATTTGTCGACGAGCAGATTCGAGGCATCGAGGAGACCAAGGTCAAGGTCAACAAGCGCAAAGGAGTGATCTCATTTATGCGTGTCTTCCCCCACTTCTCCACGGCCGTGGAGAACATGCTTTCGCAAGAGTTCTACGACATCCGGGTCAACGTAAACGAAGCCTACGATCGCATCAACCGCGCCATGTGGGAATCTCTCAAGTTCATCGCCAAGGAGGCGCCGGGCCAACCCACGGGAGCGGCTGCGACTTCGGGAGACCCGGAAGATAAGGAAATCTTAAATTACCACATTCTCCTCATTGAGAACATGAACCACTACATCGAGGAGGTCGATGTCCGGAGCCTCCCCGTCCTGGAGCGGTGGCGCGATCGGGCG